CCACTAGCTACTGCTGGCCCTGAGAAAAAGAATAAAGAAAACTTTTTTTTTAATCTCATATACTCTTACATTTTTCAAAAAAAAAAATCTTTACAATGAACATTTTTTTTCTTTAATGCTTAGAAATAAAGGTTTGTTAGGCAGACTGGGCCCACTGCCAGACCTCCCACTAAACGGGAAGCTCAAGGGGTCAGGCCTGGTGACTGTCCAGTCCACAGAGGTTGTCCTGACACCCAGCCAGGACTGCAGACTATAGAAGAGTTACTGGCTGAAGATACGCGTTCCTGTGAGGACATAGTATGTGCTTTCTACATACTGCACCAGACTGAAGCTTGTAGGTAAAATGTACATAATTAACAATCTGTTCCACGTAGGCCTGTCCTGTCTGCCTCGGACTTGGCGACCCAGTGTTCAGCTTATGGGGGTGCTAACCTACTACTGTGGGGTTGCAGAACCCCTGAAGCTGCAGAGAAGAGAATATCTTGGTTTATAACTTTAGTGTTTTTCTTTTTACATTTTAACAAAAGTCTGTCTTCAGTATTTTCAAAAAGATAATAGAGCTTTATTTTCAAAAAGATAATGGTGGGATGGGAATATAGCTCAGTGGCATAAGTTCCTAGCTGGCAAGTGCAGGGTCCCAAGTTTGGACCCTGGTCCTAAAAAGAAGAAAAAGGTAATGGTATTTTTCAGTGGTAGAAATCCAAAGGTAGCAATCACTGTCAGGATAGCTTAGCTTTTACTGTTTATGAAATATCTGATACCTGTTAATCAGTAAACTATATTATATAATTCCTTGCTGAATTGCCAAAGTAAAAATTTAATTTGTTTTTCTGAAACACTCTTTTGGTTTATTATAAGAGACTAAAATTTTAAGTTGGAAAAATGTGTAGAAACTGCCTGATTTGAATCTAAGGCATCATTCAAAGTAGCTACGACTTCTCGTTCACTTGTTCAACAGACACACTCGTAGATATGTGGTGGTCCTGGTCCTGACCAGAGTCGCGCCCACCATCAATGCGTCTTCCACTCTTGTTCTGTACAGATAGTGCGCTTCCGCGAAGGAGATTAAATTCAGCTGTCTTGATACCGCTCAGAACTTGAGTTCATTTTACACTGCTTTGCCTATTATTTGTCTTATTAAATGCCATGTAATATTCATGCGAAATAAAAGGCTGATTTATCTATTGCAATTCCACTAGGCTGTTTGTTAAGCATAAGGGAATCTTGGCATTGCATTGCATGACGGGGCTTCCTGCATACAGCTCCTGCTGCCTTGAGCATGGATCTGAAGGTCGAAGATGGCCTTAATATTATTTTCATGTGCTTTTAGAGTTAATACAAAACAAGTATATTTGAATACTAAATTGCATGAAGTGTCTGTTTGCATATGGCTTATATTATTTTCTTGCTTATTGCAAAAATTGATCAAACATTCTGAACTGGAAAATACTTTGGAGTTTTCTCAAGGTAAAGTATATTACAGTGTAAACTAGCGAAGCACAGTTTGTTTTAAGATGGAGAAGTCCAGAACCATCTGGATCTTGAATGTATGACTATGGCCTTTCATTGACTTCAACGTCATATGTCTTCATTAGTTTCACCTTCAGTGGTTGGATGTGAGTCGGTGGGATGGAGTTGGCGTTCCGCGCGCATTTCAGGACATGCCATAATGGCCACCACCAGCCTGAGCGGGCCAGCCCGGGTGGAGCTGCGGGACAGGGGCAGCAGCTGCTGCCGCTCCATTCTGCAGCCGGCTGGCAGGCGGGAACACTGCTCCCCAGCCACAGTGCTCCCTTTGCGGCTGACCCTTTCACCATGTGGCCTTCCCTTCTGGGGTTTCCTTGCTGGTCACGTCCTGCCCATATCCTTACACAAAATGAGGTGTTGTCACACGGGGCCATTCCCTCTCCACAGCTGAGTCTTGGCTCTGGCCTGGCATTCTCTGTATCCACCTTGCAGGACTGAGATCGGCCTTAAGCCATGGGCTTGGCTGGGGTGCAGGACATTGTACTGTCTGGATTCAGAGCCCTGTGTTTCCTCCTTAACCTGTAAAGTAACTTCTGGACCCCTCAGGTTTGTGTAGAAATTCACATGGACAGTTGATGACTTTGGACAGGCAGAGTTGCTCCCTAGGAAGGGACTAAGACAGGGTGAGCCTCCGCCCCTGTGCTGGCTCTCATCGGTGCTGGGCATCTCCACAAAGGGCACCCGCCTGTGCAGCATATCCTGCTTTACACCTCTGTCCAGAGCCCCAGCGGAGCCACTGGTCCTCAGTGAGCCACCATGCCACTCCTGGTGAGCAGCTTTCTCCTGCCCCGCTGGGCGTCCCTGCTCATTCCCCAGGCTTTCTCTTTCCTTCCCAGCACCCTCACTTCGTGCGACAGTGAGGCAGCCTGGACTTGCGGACCGCCTGCCGTCAGAAGAGTCCTCCTGATTACATACTCTCACCCTGGGTTTCCTCTTCATGGGCTTTCTTGGCAGTAGAAACTTCTCTTTGCAGTAACCTAGAGGCCTGACTTGCTTGTGGGCCTTATTTTAGCACTGTGTATCTGTTTCCTGGGTTCCTAACGTTGGCTTGCAAGCGTGGTATTTTAAAGTATATAGTTGAGTTACAAAGTTTCAAAGGACAATAGCCTCTCTACCAGAAGAAAAGTAGGCCGAGGTAGATTGTTCCATCAAGTACCTGTCTGAACAAACACAGTATATACATGTGTTTTTATTTTTATAGAACATTTAATTTAGATATATTAAATTATCCAGACATGGTCCTAACATATTAAGCTGGCCTGGCAGTTTTCAAAAGGAGTGACTCGTTGGTTTTCCATAATGAAAGTAAAGCACCTGACAATTATTATCAGGGTAAAACTCCAGGGCTGAGGGATTTGTGATTTTTAAAAATCTTAAAGATTTGCAGGGCCTTTCCATTAAATCAAAGTACAAACATTTCAAAGTTTATAAAAACATAAAACTGCTTCATGCAAGGATTCCAAACTATGAGCTAGCAGATCTTTTACAGAGCAGGCCTTTAGTTCTCACACGAGCTTAGCTGGCATTCATGGAGTCGCGTGCTGTGCTGCGTGCGGGGCTGTGCTGGGTGTGGTCACGAGGGTGTGGCGCCAGGCGGGGCAGTCTTCACCGTGTCACTGTCCACTCAGGCATCTTAGCTTCTCCTGTCTTATAAAGCAGTTGTTACTGGGAATGGTTTTGGTAATGCAGCCTCGCAGTGCAGTGCTTTCTTTGTGGTGGGCTGCAGCATTTCTTGGGTAGTCTGTAAGCAGTACACTGTTTTTCAGACAGCTGCTGAACATAGAACTCAAGATGGTGATAGCTCAAGGCTAAATTTTTATTTTTTTATTTTTTGCTTTTTAATTTTTTTATTTTTTAAAGAGTGCACAAATTAGAATTAAAACAAAAAATTATGATTGATACAGAATTTCACTTAACAAAGTAATCTGAATCTCACAGTATTTATTGTAATACATGGTGCTGTCTTCCAACCAGTTATTCATATTAGCAGATATATGCATGTAAAATTGGAAGAAGAAAGTAAAAAAGAAAGATGTATAAGAAATTAAGAAGAGAAAAAGTACAAACAATTGAAAAAAGGAGACAAAACAAAGTAAAGCATTATCTGTTCCTTTCCATAAACCAGCAGAAATACACAGTACAGGTGTCCAAACCATCCTGCTTACATACATAATAAATCTCTTTCCCCCACTCCCTCTCCTGTCCTCAACTCAGTAACTCTTTCCTTTAGAATAAGCTCATTCCTTTTTCCCAGTGTCTATTGTACCCTTCAGGTTCCATTTTTCTCTTTCAGGTTCTCACACTAAGGAGACAATATGATGTTTGCACATGAGGGTCTGATTTATTTCACTTAAGAGTATATTCTTTGGTTGCATCCATTTACCAACAGAAGACTCAAATTTATCCTGTTTTATAGATGAATAATACTCCATTGATCCTTATTGTACTTATTTCCTCTTCCCTTCCTCCTCACTCTTCGCACATTTTTCCTTGGACCACTTCCCCATTACAAAAGATCCCTTGTCCCAGGGGCTGGCAAGATAGCTCAGTGGATTAAGAGTTTGCTTAAGCAAGTACAGGGACTATGGTTCAATCCCCAGCACCTCATGACACGCTAGCCCTGCCCCTGGATGCACTGAGCTAGCCACTAAGACTGGGCATGGTGGCGCATGCCTGCAATTCCAGCACTGGGGAGGCTGGAAACAGGAGAACCACTACAAGTCTGAGCTGCATAGTGAGACCATATACCAAATATATATGGGGGGCAGGGGGAGATCCCTTGTCCCCTTGTGTGCATGCTTCATTATTTTTGTTTATCATTTGCCTCATCCAAATGAGTGATCCTATATCACAATTAAGGAAAATACAATGTTGAGTAAAATAAACCAAACACACAAGCTTCAACAACATCGAATTTGCATACATTGATCCATTCTTGTATTCCCAAGATGAACTTAATCGGTTATGGTGAACAACATTTTTCCTGTGCTGTTAGATTAGTTTTGCTTGTGTTCTTAAAGGATTTTTGCATCTATGTTCATCATGGACATTGTATTATAGTTTTCTCTTTCTTTCCATTTTGTTTTGTTTTGCGTTATTTTTTGTTTCGTTGTGCCCCTATCTGGTTTTGGTAACAGGTAAATGCTGATCTCACAGATGTGTTTGGAAGAATTTATCTCTCTTCTATTTCTTGAAATAACTTAAGGAGAATTGGAATTTTAATCTCTTTTTTATTTCTTCCTGTTCTGATACTAGCATTGGTGCTTGTGCTTATTTTTGACTTTATGTCCATGAAATATCTAATACATATATGCTTTTAGAAGTAAGGGCTAAATTTTTATTAGAAAGCATTTTACGTGGACACTTTTCAGACAGCTGCTAGGCAACCCCCGTGGCAGCGCGTCTCCCCGTCAGGTTTCAGTGCGTGAGGGTGGCAGCGCTCCCCCCTCACGGTGCACCCCTCGGCTGCGTAGATTTCCTTGCTGAAGCAGAGCCTGGAGGTGCAGCTGTCGCAGTCCCAGACCTCCTTGCAGCAGCTGCAAGCCCAGTTCGCCCAGGAGCGCCAGCGACTCACACAGGAGCTGGAGGAGCTGGAGGAGCAGCACCAGCAGAGGCACAAGTCCCTGAAGGAGGCGCACGTCCTCGCCTGTCAGACCATGGAGGAGGAGAAGGAGCAGGAACAGAGAGTAAGTGGCACGCTGCGAGCGGGGTGCTATCCAGGCCGCAGCTTCCTGTGTGTTGCACGCATCAAATGTGCACAGTACTCCCACGTGGACCGCACAGGGCCCGGCTGCTCTGCATTGCGGGTCAGGTCAGATGCGCGACTGCTTTCCTCTGTGCGTGGCCCTACTGGCACACTGTCACCAGCCCAGTCACTTAGGATTACTGAGGCTTCCACTCAAATTTTAATTTATCTTTCACTCTGACTCTTAAAGACAAAAGAAAGAAATGTATCCAAGGTATTTGTATTTTTTAATCCGAGATTTTTCCCTTTACATTCTTCCTAGTCCCCTACATACAAGAAGTTCATACTGAAATGAGTTAGAGATATTTCTAAATAGGTTCACATCCTCATACGTAGCCTGGAGGACACATGCCAAGCAGTGGCACAGGGCTTAGTCACAGGGACTTACTTGACACAGGCGTATGACAGAGGAATCACAGTCCTGGCCGGCTCTCTACACGTCAGTTACATGGTTGTGTATTAAAATTTTAACCTTTCATAGTCCTCATGTGATTTATTTTGATTTAGCTTATTTCTTAACACTGTCTTTCTCAATTTATGCCAAGGACTTTATTATAATTAGGAAAAGGATTTGGTAGAATAATGGAGTTTTACTAGCATTGATTTTTCCCTGTAACAGTGTTTACGGATACAGCTTGTTATTTAGCCTTTTACTTGGGCATAGATAGTATTTTTAAGAAATGATACATTTTAAAGTAATTATTTTTCAAAACTGATATTAAAAAATAGTCTACATGCTTATAGAGTAAGTTTCAGTCTGTAGATCTTGTCCAGAAAGCTGAAGAAGTTCCCTGGGTTAAAAATTAGGCCTGATTAGAAACGACCTATTCACTGATAAAATTTATGAATTTGAATAGCACATGAGCTCTGGCTCCAGGACTCCAGTTGTTCACACTCGGTCTTCTATCATTTACCTTGAGGCATTTTTCAGAGCAGTCAGAGCCTGTAGTCCTACGGTGCTGTCATTAGGACCCAACCCACCAAGCAGAAGCATCTCACCAATACTGAAAGAAACCCACACCTGCTTTTCAGAAATAAAACGTATCGAAAGCAGCGATCTTAAGTAGCCAAATGCCATCTTTTTTTTTTTTTTTTTTTTTTTTTTCCCAGAACTGGGGATTGGACTCAGGCCCTTGTGCTTGCCCAGGAAGTGCTTATTCCACTGAGCCATCTCCCCGGCCCCCAAATATCATCTTTTTCACAAAGCATTTTAGATAATGATTAATGAAATACAACACTGATCACACGATATCATCTTTCTCAGAAATATTCCACAAATTACAATAAACAAGCGAGCCACCCTTCCCAGGGTAGTTCTCTACACCTGTAAAGCTCTGAGCTTGTCCCCAGCCTTGTGCACAGTAAGCCTCCGAGTGTGTGCTCCATTCTAAAAGCAAATCATTGAAAGCTTTTAGTTTACTGTTCAGCCACCTACTCTCAGAGCTGTTGCTTCCTCACTCCAGTAGAGGAGCAAAGAGTTACACAGACAACAGCCACAGGAGATTCCCTAAGTATCTCGCATCAAGTGCAAAGGCCTCTCACTCCTCCTCAGCAGAGGACCTGAGCCTGCTGGTGCCCTCCTCCACTGCCTCTTTCTTGAATATGGCACAAAGGAATTTTTCATTAGCTTTAAGCTTTACAAGTTTCACATTTCTAATTCAAACAAAATACATTGAGTCACCTGAAGCCCCAGTACTCTAGGAGGCCCAGTACTTTAGGAGAAGGAGGGTCTGTCCGTTTAGCAACTTAATGAGATATAAGACTCTGTCAAAATACAAAATAAAAAGGGCAGGGGAATGAACTTAGTGCCAAGGCCCTGGGGTTAGCTCAGTACTGCAACATAAATACAGAGTCGAATTGTTTGAGGCGACTTGTGGACTGCTAAACTGACTACTAGTTTATCTTCTAGTGGGGATCACCTTGTAGATGAACCTTGTGACGAGGCTGTAGCTGCATTTTGGAGTCTGCGCTCTGCCTTGTCTACTCCCCTCCTGTGAGCTGGTGGAGTGCTGAGCCCTTGCCTCGTCTCTGTGCAGGCCCTGGAAGCCCGCCTACAGCAGAAGCACGCTGCAGAGCTGCAGGCCCTGAAAGATGCACACCGCGAGTCCTTGGAGGGCTTCCGGGCGGAGATGGAGCAGGAGCTGCAGACTCTGCGCTTTGAGCTGGAAGACGAAGGGAAGGCCATGCTTGGTATTCTGCAAGGGCTAGTGCCCTGCCATGTTCCTCTGTGCATGCTAGTTTAGAATTCAACATCAGGTCACAGTTGGGTGCACTCATTGAGCTGTCGGCTGAATCCTCAGCATCTGCAGCTACAAAGAGAGGCGGGAGGGCTGGCATCAAATGGAGACTCCAGGCCCTGGCGCTGTCTGCTCTGCGTGGAAGCAGCCCCCACAGAGGTGCCCTCTGTCCTCATGGACCAGCACAGTAGGAAGACTCATCTTAGTCCTTAGGCTGTGTGGTCACCTCGCCGGTGTCACTGGGCTTTTACTATGGTGAAGAGAAACCATGATTAGTTCTGCCTTTTTGTTGCTGTAAATTTTATATGGAATTTCGTAGGAGGATTGCCCTTTTTATAAGGAAATAAGTTGAGTTTTGAAGAAAAACTAGACTTGTATTGAAAGGTTAGGGCTTGCTTTGGTTCTTAGTGTCATGGTAACTTTTGAATCCCATCATCCTCCAGTTTGGTTTTATGCCAAATTCTCCTACTATTTCTCACACTTGTCACAACTGTGTGCACTGTTTCCAAGAAGGAATTAGGAATGGAGTGCTATAAATATTTGGAGCCTCAAAGGAAAAGAAGGCCACTGACACTGCTCTGGATCTCTTGTGGCCATGAACTCTGGACCAAGTCATGATAGTGCTCGCCATCTGTCACTGGTGAAAGTGACAGGCAGCCTGGTGAAAGTGACAGGCAGCAACCTGCCCCAGGCCTGGGCATGTGATGCAGGGGCTGGGCCGAGTGGTGCAGGCTGAGCAGCGGCTCTGTCTCTGCACAGGACTGATGTTGAGCAGAGGGGCCTGATGGAATTGGAGCTGGGGGAAACACTGCCCACAGCTGTGAGGGCAGAAGGCTGCGAGGCTGAGCTTGGTACCAGGCTGAGCTTTAGTCTACGGACACCTGATGCATGCTCCTTGGCATTAACAAAAGAACTGTTTTCTATTTTTAAAAAATCTTTTACTTTATGGTGGCTGTAGATTCACTTGTGAGTTTAAGAAACAGTAGATTCTCTGTACCCTTTGTGTAGCATGCTTGGCGGCAGCCACTAAGCTGACACACTTCACGGCATCTGTCGGCATCAATCTGTCGTGACAGCATTCCCATCATCCTAGAGGTCCCTGTTGTCCTCTTTAGCCGCATCCACTTCCCTCATCTCTATCTGTGGCTCCTGTCAACCACTGATCTGCTCGTCACACTCTATCATTTTGCCCTTTCAACACCGCTGTTGGCCTTGTAAATGAATCCACACCCGTCTAGCCTCATGAGGCGGTTAGAGACACGAGGCTGCAGCCAGCGCAATTCCTTGGAGTCCCCTAGCTGCCGCGTGCACGGTGACGTGTGCCTTATTATTGCCCAGTGGTATCCACGGTCTTGACTTGGCTTCCAGGTTCTTGTCCTTCAGCCGTCAAAGGTCATCTGGGCCTTCAGTTTGGGTCTACAGAAAAAGCTGCTCCAAACATCTGCGTAAGCTTTTGAATAAACCTGGGTTTTCATCCCTGGGAGCACTTCCCAAGATTGCAGTTGCTTGGTCAGATAGTTGTTACATTTTCTGTTTCTTCACGAACTTCCACCTCAAGTGGCTGCAGCCTTTGTGTCCCTGTCAGCACTGTGGATGGCCCAGTTCTTCTGTCCTCACCATGTGATGGCGTCGCAGGACTTGAGCTATTCTCCTAAGGTAGAATGGTGCTGCAGGTGCACTTTTAACTGGTATTTCCCTGGCAATTTATGAAACAAGCATTTGCCGTCAGTAGGGTTTCTCTTCTCACTGGATTGTCGAACTGTGAGCTGGAGCATCCTTAAAGATTGTCAAGACCCTCCCACTCTCTGCTGACTCCCTCATCCAGTGGAACACTCTCCCAGGGGCGACCATTAACGACAGAATTGCAGATCCGAACTGTTCTCACTTGCTGGCTGTCCTCTTGGGAGCAACGTCAGCCCCACTGCCCAGCCACCCTCTGCACTTCCTGATGGTGTGTGTCCTCCCAGTCACCTGCTTTCCTCTACCATTTCTTCTTTGCCAGTCCGGCCTCTACAGCCGCCTGCTCGGCACTGCTGCCTCCCAAGGCCCTGCCTCTCCTCGGGTCTGTTTTGGTCCTTAGCCTCTCCCTTGCTGATTGGCTTCAGCAGCCATTGATGTGCGAAGATTCCAAGTACGTGTTTCTAGACCAAACCTTCTTTCCTGAATTTAGATTTTATGTTTCTTACTGCATGTTACACAGACATTCCAGCTTATATTCGAGGTTTTAAAACAAGGGTTCCCCATCTTCCTGTAGTCCAGGTGTGTTGGCCTTTCCATACTCTCTTCTCTAGTTGACGCTACCACTTTTGAGTTGCACAAACAGAACTCCCTCTCCTGTCGGTTCCTGTTCTTGAGCACTTTGTTATGTCTGTGTCCCCTCCCTTAGTCCTCTGGCATGCGTAGGCCATAGACTTACCTTCTGCTGTCAGGATCCTTGCCATAGCCCTCTCTGCTGTCCATCCTCCAGACACCAGGGTGAGCCATGCTGTGTTGAACTAAATCTCTCTGTGACTTTCCAGGGCAGCGCCCTCCCTCAGTGACCCCGTGCTCTACCAGTGCCTGGTGGGCTTTTCCCGGGGGACTAGGCGTAGGCCCTGTATGGAGGCCTCAGGAGGCGGTGGGCCTGGCCATCACATACGCAGCACTTCTTCACAGGCTCCATGTTTTAGCTTAAAATGTATAATTTGTATAATTCACTTACTCATAGCTCTCTTCACATTAATATTTGGCTTTTCCAAAACCTTGAAGTAAAATCCCATTTCTGAAGGGGACCATGTATCTTCTCCAGGTTTCTTTAGGGCATGGGGTAAAATGGATGCCACCTGGGGTCCCTGTTCTCACATCGTCCATTTTCTTTCCAGTTGCCACCAGACCGGTTCTCTGTGCTGAGGCGTGTGTCACCCCATCTTGATGAATGCCTTTTCTCTACTTGAAAAGGCCCGACTCAGCATTTTAGTCTTTTCGGCTGAGTTACTGTGACAGTCCTTAGTGACAGTGACCCACTTTGTGTTTTGTAGGAAGTTGGATCCTTCCAGCACTGTGGTTTCATTGTGCTCAGTCTCCACACTTCACTTTCAGGCAGGACGGGTTCATTGTTCCTCCTCCCTAGAATAGCGCCGGCATCCCATACGTGCTTGTCGGTTCGTGGAACAACGCAGCCCGGGCTCAGCTGCGAGGAGGCCTTGCCTGCTGGTCTCAGCGACTTCCGGGATGTTGTGGAAGAGTTCTTACCTGGCGGGGAGCTGGCTCCTCAGCCTTTGTTAGTGGACCAGTCCGCGTTAAAATTTACTTATAATAGTAGTGAAGAGGTGACGCATTTCCCCTCCATTAGCACTGTCTTTTTAATCTGAAAGTATATAGAAGCATCCTGGATCGCTTCAGCACTTGAAGTTTTGTGTCTCTTTCAAAACTAGGCGAAGCTGAAATTCACGAAAGCGTGTGATAGTCTATATACCAATTCATGATAGTTTGTAATATCTGGTAATAATTTAGTGGACATATGCGGGTGTCCTAATTTTAAAACTATTGTGGCTTTTATAATTTTACATATTGCTAATACTTACTAAATCTAACCTTTCCCTTTGTGTCTCAGCTTCCTTGCGCTCAGAACTTAACCAGCAGCACGCGGCTGCTGTCGACTTGTTGCAGCATAACCACCACCAGGAGCTGGCAGCTGCTCAGAGGGAGCTGGAGAGGAGCGCCGACGCCGGCAGAAGACAGGTAGCGGGAGGCCAGACGGGCCGGGCTGCTGAGAGTTGCTTACCGCTGCTGGTTCAGTGGCTGCTATTTTCCGTGTAGCAAAGTGTTCTTTTTCCATGGAAATAATTCTACTTTAGTATCCTAGTAATGAAACCACACTTTTGACTGGTAACATTTAAGTCTGCACCTTGGAAACATGTAGGAAATGAGAAGCATGTGGGCAGCCATGACCCACGGAGATAATGTGAAGCATGTGGGCAGCTGTGGCCCACGGAGATAATGTGAAGCCTGTGGTCAGC